AGTCCTGTTTAGGTAAACTTTGTTATTATTCATAGTTGTAGTCTTTTTGTGTGTAGCATAAAGGGACTGTCACTAGCATTTCATTAGGTAACCCTTTGTTGTTGAATGATAAAAAAATGAACTGTGTTTTCTGAAAATATATGTGTTTAATAGATTGTATGTAAAGATGCCATATCGCCATATCTGACTCCTCCTAACTCGCTCTGAATTAAAAACTGAGCGACGTGTGAGTGGAGCTCATGCAGGCCACGCCAAAATCTCTGGGTCCTGTGATGATGCTGACCTGTGATACGGAGTTCATGCCTTTAATTCTGCTTAACTTTAAGCCTTGATACAATTTAAATGGGTGAGTTATTTAAAAAGTAAACCCCTGTACAGTTATCACAAGCTGGGTTATCAGCTATAGAGACCAAAACTGTTTTTTGTACTAAGCTGTAAACATATTTATTTCGTCTGTAAAATTGGACATTTTAACAGGAGGATCTATGGGGACTGACTCACTTACGGAGCCACCCTCAAGTGGCCATGTGAGGAACTGCAGTTTAGGCACTTGGAGTTGCACTATCAAATTTTATAAACCAGTGTTTGCTAAAAACCCGACCAGGGAAAGGGGGGATCTATCTGTAAATCTTCTTTCCTGGACCTCTCTGGCCCACAATGCTTCAACTTTGAATGAGATATCAGTGATTTACTCATAAGTATCTGGAGATTCAATTTACTGCTCAAAACCTGAGTAACTATTATATGTGTATTAGCGAGGAGTGAACAAAGCGAGTTCGGACACATGCCACAGAGTCAGGCCAGGTGTTCAGAGTTCAAAGGTTGCATGTGAACCTACCTTGTTTCCCATCTCTAACTTTTCTTATTTCCCCTTCTTTCCAGCCCGGTGCCGTACTGGCAGCAGCAGAAACTCACTCTCTCAGGTTGGACAGCTTGTTCAAGTCGAATGCTATTAGTTCTGGGTCAGTGCCTGGGCTTTCTCTACACCCCAACAACACCTTTTCACCAGCCAGGGATTCCAGCCACCATTAATCAGAGTGGTGACAGCCCATGGATGTCAGTAAATATGTTTCCCTCACTACCTCTTTTTCCCACCACTTTTCTTTCGGACTCTTTCTCCCACTCATGTGATTGTTCTTTTTCTCTGCTCTTTCAGGTTTAATGTTGACCTGTTCTTGCTTTGATCTTCATTATTAATATCGGGGTTCAACAACTGACGCATACAAGATAGACAAACAAATAGATTTGCCTTTTGGTAGGGACAAGTTTGGAACGTATTGACAGAAACGAAAACTGAACCAAGGAGCAGAAAATTGCTTGCAGGGGCAAAATTAAACTCTTGTTCCCTGCTATGCCAAACATTCCCTCATAGCCAGCTTACATTTGAACACTTTATATGCATGTTTTTTTTGTTTTTTTTTTCCTTCACTGAACATAAGCGTCGGCCAGGTGCTTATGAATGTTGTCGGAACAAAAATGTCTACTCAGTTGAGAGAGTGTGACAGTTTCCTCTCCTGCACGGGAGGTACAGCTGACGGGGGGATGAGTGCTGGCCGGCATCGTGGCTGCTGTGAATGTGCAGAGGGTGACATGCAGGCAGAGGGCCAACGGCAGCCAGTTGGAGAAGTGGGTGGCCATCTCGGCTGGCATGCGGGGGCCCGGATACCTGCTGCTGTCCAGAGACAGCTGTAACGTAGCCACCCGTGGCCGCGCAATCAGGTTGGTGGCCACTGAATGCTGATAATGCTGCAGTCTGCGCTTTCCTCAGCCCGGCAGACGGGAGCTGCAGCCGATGGCATGAGGCATTTCTCAAGAAGATAAGGCAGGCTGGAGCCAAAGAAGTAAACAGGGAGCAGGGAGAGAGCGGAGACATGACAAGGAGAGTGAGAGGCGGAGATGAGGAGATAAAGAGAGACAGCGAATGCCACCAAACAAATGGTGACCTTTGCAAAGATGGATTTGTTTACCAACAAATGTTCTCGCTGTCAACACCTGCTCCAGAGTGACCTTCACATGGAGACGGAGCTGACGCCTCTCATCTGTTCATCTTTACACCCACTCATCGACACAGCATCTTATCGGCTCAGCTTGCTTCTGTGGCTGCCAATGCATGGAGCTCGTTGATTCCACCAGATACAGTTATGTTCATTTAATCACTGCTAGCTGTAAGCATTTGGCCCCAAACTGGTGCAAAAATCTTCTAGTAAGTTGTGGGTTGGAGTAAAAAATGCAGAAGTATGTTCAGTATTTGCACACCCTGATAACATCGACATACTTATATTGTTATCTATGTAGGGCTGTACTGTGGTTCTCAGGACTTCAGACAAAAGCATAATGACGTTGCTTTTTGGTAGGGGACACAGAAGCAGAAAAAAAACACACAAAAGACACACGGTGATCGAGAAAAAAATGTCTATTTGATGCTGAAAGGCTCTAAATACATATGGTGTAATCCACAGTTCACAGTATTCTCCTTTAATAAATACAGGATGATTGCAAACATCTAAGCGCCTGCACTTTAACAACTCAACTTTTAACAGTTCTTAACTTTTTAAAAACTCTACTGGTATTTTACAGATTTTCCCTATTTTGTTAAGTTACAGATAACAACTAGTAAAGTTTTTAAAAGTATGAATTTACTGTACATGTTACATGTTTACATCCAAAAATCTCAATTTTTAAAAAAAAGAAATTGGCACTTTAAAAAAGTGGCCGGAAAAACCAAATAATTATTAATTTAAAAAAAAAAAAAAGTATTTTACGTGTTTTCCATTATTTGAAAGAGAAATGATGTATATAAAGGACTGAGAAATGGTAAATACTGTTGTGCTTACCACAGTTTGTTTCTTTGTTTCCTAGAATGTTGTCTTTGAGCAAATGATATCATCTTGCCCTACCAAAAAAAACGTTTCAGTTGTTAACCGCAAACGTTCCTTATTTGAAAAATTTGCAAGAAGACATGTTCAGTCTGAACTGAGTCTGTTGTTCTTGTGCATTTCACTGTGGACATCTGTCAAATATTTTAAGAAGGCTGTTTATACAAAGAGCTTTTCTCTATGCTTAGTTGAAACTGACAGTTTTACATTAAAGTAATGCAAAGGATTTCAGTAAAGCTGCACTAGAACAACAGTGTGTGACCCTGGTGGTCCAAAGGCCTAACATGATGACCATGTAGTTGTAGTTCAGTCAAAGATCTTTGCTGCATGTTATTCTTCATCGACCCAACAGATGACTTAATGTACAAACAGAGCCACTGCAACGTTAAGCTCTTCCCAAGAACACTTTATATGTTGCCTAGCATTCATCCCTACAGCCAACAGATGGCAGTGTTGAGCTAAAACAGGTTAACAACAAACCTGCTGACTTGCATTAACGAGGGAACAACAGAACTGGCACTCCACAAACCAACAGTGGAGATGATATCCATCCATCCATCCATCCATCCATCCATTATATATATGTACTAATCATCACTAGGGTCGCGGGGGGCTGGAGTCTATCCCAGCTGACTCAAGGCGAAGGCAGGGGACACCTGGACAGGTCACCAGTCTATCTTAATTAGGCATAAAGTCATTTATTTATTTCTTGGTGCACCTCACACTTGTGAGACGTCTGTACGCGTCTTCACGTATTAACACTACTACGACATTATGAGAATTTTAAATGATTTAAGATTAGATAGATGAGATAAAATTATTCTAAAGCATGATGCATGTAACCTGAACACAAAGTCCACCTGTCTTGTGTCTCGATATGTGGCGAATAAATCACACCAGGTTCTGATTTATAGATGATTTTCAGAGCTCAAACACAAAGAGCACTCTGTGGTTTCTGAGTCTGATACCATCTACAGCAATGATTGTGATTTATCATCTAGTTCTTCCTTTAGTTCAGTGCATTGACTTGAAACTGTTATATTTATATTTACGATCTTAACTTCATTTGAAAGTGACTACATGAGCACATTAATTAGCACATTAAACAGTATTTCTGGCTTGTAAACTTAATTATGCTTCCATACAGTACAACTCTAAAACTACATGATATAGAAAAGGTACTCATGTATTTTGAGCCAGTTATTAAGTCAAACTTAAATCTAATCTAAGTAACTTCATGGGAAATGTTCCTGCATGATAAATGCTGTGCACCTTAAGATAAGAACTTGTCCCAATTCTTTAAGTACAAAACGTCTCCCTCCTTTAAATTTTTTACAGAAGCTGCTTCAGATTTGATGTACACACTCATACAGTCTCACTCAATGATTCATAATTGCCCCGCGTTTGACTCTCCTGCAAACCAGTTAATTATTGAAGGTTTGACTGGAGTGAAGCTCAGGCAGAACCCAGCGAGGAGGCGCTAAGTGAAGCCGACAGCACAGACGTCGCTGGTTCAGCTTTTGATGATGCCACACAATGGAAACACTCAATTCTGTCGCATACAGTGCAAAAGTGTAAAAATAACTCGCAATGAAGAATCTCGCTGCTTTTTAATGCACCCAGATTCCAGAGGTTTTAAAGAGTCTTTGTTCCTGAAACCCTTAAACAATTAATATTCTCATGCACCAGAACTATTTGTAAGTGGTTTCTCGCAGCCTCTTCACCTTAAGGGCATCACAACAAAAAGCCTGTCTTCAGATTTAAAGCCATGCGTGTCTCTGTGACAGCAAAATGCTTACGGTTGGAATTAGTCTGCAACGTCGCGCTAAGTAAAGAAACAAGAGAGTGTCTGCTGTGGGCCTGTAATTACAGTTTCTGAGGAGAGTGTCAAATTATCCTACCACAGACGAGGAAATCCCCAAACTACACAAGGAAACAGACTTCATAGCCTGAAATGTCTCCTGTAATAACTGACTTTCATACCAACAAAACTCTAATGTTGAATTATTTCATATTTGCAAAGAAATTATATCTGAATGCAAAAACAACCTTGACAGCTATTCAATTAAAGCTGCCGTTTGTCATGTAAGATTTCTTGTGAAAAGCTTCCACCTGACCCCAGTATCACCACAAGATATATATTTTATTCAGGGACCAACAATAATACACAAAAATACAAAGCATCACATCAACTTTTATAGGCAAGAAAAATAAAGGGTATAATTTTATACAAGACATCTAAAAAGACCAATTTGGAGCATAGAAGCGCAAAATCACAACTAATAACAATTACAGTGAACATTTTTAAACAAAGGAAAAGAAGCACAAGCACTATAACTTGCAGAGTGTATAAAAATGACAAAATGAACCCTACCGGGTAATTACATTGACTATGTGGTTAAAGAGCCCATCAGAATTAGGACTGCTGCATTCAAGGACACTAGAAAGCTCTAAAAAGAGCCGGCTTGTCTCAGATTGGTAGATGCTACTGTTTCTGAAACAGTCCCACACTATAGTTGGCGGGTTTAAAAGTCACTCAGAGAGATCAGAATCTACCAGCATTAACAGTAAAATCTCATGGCTTCGCTGTTTACTCTTGAGTCCCTAAAATGTTAAAGATTAGCACCACTGGGCTGGTATTAACATCAAGAGCCGGGTTAATGTAAATAAGCACTGTAAAAGATTCAAAATATTGTTCGTGCTCACCCGCTGAGTCTTTGTCTAGTGTTACAGAAGCAGGAGGAAATCGATCCACTTCCACCACAGTGGGTGGCTGAAAGGAAACGAGACCAAAGCTATGACTTCTCTATTGCAGCGATAGCTTTTCCAAACATTAATTAAGCGTCTTTTTTTTTTTTCCACTTTCATTTTTGATCTTTTTTGCTCTTCTGTTTTCAAAACCAGAAACATTATGAAGGTTAATGGTTAAATTACAACACATATGTACTAAATGTACATAGACAAAAAAAAAAAGAAAATCAGATTTTCAGAAGCTACTGTTATTTACATGCTTCTATTTATCTAAACATTTCCCTTTGTAAAAAGCTGTGCTTTGTACTGAAACTGCCTAATTTTCACAGGTAGAAAAATACAAGGTTAGTATCTCCAAACCTGCCAGCAGTATCTTCTATCACGTCATGCAAAAACACTTTTAGCGGACAAAGTTATCACCTCATTGTCCTACAAAAATAGTTGGTAGCAAAATAGACTTTAAAGTCTCCAGAGTCATGCGTCTGTCCTTTTCACTGGTTTCTGTGTATAATTCAGCTCTTTTTTGTTTTTTTAACGGTCCTGAGTGTGCAAAAAGTCAGCATGGCTAAAAATAAGACCAATGTTATAGACTGCTGAGAGAGAATATTAACAAAAGCAAAGGCATCTTCCTGCTCTCTTTACACTTCAAAGCTTTCTGCAGCACACACAAGTAATTACACAAGTGTGTTCCATTTGTTTTTTAACTAAAAGTCGGCAGAATAGTACAGTATGTGAGATGTTTTCAAGTCCGGTGTAAATGCATATTATATATATTACATACTACTCAATACAAAGCTGCAAAAGTATTTTGCAAATTGGCAAAGCTTCCTGAAATTAATGCAGGATATATTTCACATAGCCCTCTGACAAGCACTACTGCAGCTGCAAACTGCCGTTGAATGTACTTTGTCAAAATTGCTTTACTGGAATAATTTACAAAAGTGCATCATCCTCCTGATGACCCTGGATGAATTCCACTGTCTTTAAGTACTCATTTAAGTTTAAAAGAGCTGTAACTCACGTCTGCTCTACTGCGCCCTCTGGCACATGGTTCAAATCACTGTGTGGTTTACAGCTACAGGTTACAGAGAGGAACAACTTTAACGTTAAGTTTGACTGATTCCTTGCTTTGTCAGTTGTTTCAGTTGGAAGCTCAAACATGCAGTTAAACATCATGTTATTTTCCTTTGAAACCACCCCCCCAAAATATTCCTGCTGTACCTGTAAATTCCTTCACACACACTTCAGTTTACAAATGATGATTAATCATTTTGTCCATGTAACTCATTTTCGGTCTCACATTTGTAAATGTCTTCATAACCTATCAAATGCCCAAATACAGAAACAATGTCACGTGAAATGCATTTAACATGATCTAACATACGCTTTACAAATTTCAGAATAATGCTTAAAAAGATTTGATTTGTTTTTTTTAAATCCAGGGTTCACCCTTAAATCTGTACAAAAAATGTAAAAATCATCAAAAGTTCAACAGCCTCTCTGGCACTTTGATGCCAAAGTAAAAAAAAATTCTGGACATAATGTGGAGATCCTCCTAACATGGTACTGCATTAATGCACTTGTCCCCTTTTGCCACAAACAACATGTATATAAAAAGTGCTACTGACAGCTGGTGGGGAGGGAGGACAAAGTAACGGTGGCTGGATGAGGGTGGGGGGGGCTCATTGTCTTTCAGTACTTGTGTAATCGTTCTTGTCTGCATGCAGTCTGTGTGTTTTTAGTCGCTGACAGGAGACTGGGTGTGTGGGAAGTGAGAGGATGAAGGGTTTCCCTAAGAGACGCTGGAGCAGCGGATGCTCGGGGAGCCCATTTGTGTGAGCACCTTGTCGAGCCACTGCAGGGGTCCGTTCAGGTGCAGCTCGATCCAGCAGGGGGTGCTGGTCACTGTCTGTCGCCTGGCAGAGACACAAAGAGAGCACAAACAGATGTTAAGAGCCGTTTGGAGTGTGAGTAAACTGGCAAATTCGAGTTTCAGCAAAGTCAAACTGCTCTGCTTACTTTCTTTTTTTTTTTTTTAGCCCTGATGTAAGCCAGATGCAAGAAACTGGACCCAGAAAAGAAAATGCTTTCACAGCTTCTCTGAGTTAACACTTAAGACATTGTAATGCTGGTTAAGACCACATTTAAAGTGTTTAGCGAAGAGAAAGAAAACAACTGTTTGATTTTTTTCTGATTTATATTTGTAAAATACGTCAATGGATTTTGTTGAGTCAGAATAAATGTGATGATCTCAACTAAAACCTGGAAGCCTCTTTGTCTCTCCAAAGCTCAAATAATGCTTCAGTGAAAATGTTATTCGTCATTGTTTAATAAAAAATCTTAGAAGCGAATGATTTCTTTCTTTTGTTCTACGTTCTTAAAAAAGAAAAAAGAAAAAAAAGCATTTTGGAAGAGGCACTACACAAAAAACTGTTCCAGACGTTTGACATCTTGATCTCCACATCCATTGGCTTTTCCCTGATTCCCTGCAGTCTTCAAACAAAAAACATTACTGTTTTTTTTTTTTTTCCCCCAGAGAAGATAGGAGATATGAAGCAACAGTGTTTAAGAAATATACTTTTATCTATAAGTGAAGTTAAGCGACAGTGTTTGTGTGTCAAGGTGAGTGATGAAAGACCAACATCGGCTGGATAAAGACTGCAGACAGAGTCTCTCACAAAACGCAGTTATAAAAACAAAAAGCAAAAAAAGAAGATTCCTTTTCTTTTTTTTCAAATATGGTTGCAAAGTGATAAACTAGACCTCATGTTTTCAGGCAGTTTGAAAGGAACAAGTAAATAAAACAACTATTACAATACAACAACTGCAGGTAGAATATGTCCTTAGATATTTAGTTTTATTGTTACCAGAAAAAAAAAAAAAAAACTTTATATGTGAATAAATTAGGTGCAAACACTATGGTTTTTGCAAACTCTTTAATTCATCTTTACATTTGTCTGTTTGCAGTGTGTTTTGTATTTTTTGTAAATTAAAAAATAACAAGTGAAAAGGACAAAGGAGAAAACAATCAATGACAGAGCCTGGGAAACATTCAGAGAGAGTGAGGTAAAGGTGGAGGTAGAGGAAGAGGAGGGACTGGCTGTTCCAGTAACCTGAATCCTGTTTTTAAGTGTCTCCACATGTCAGCGTTTGGTCTGGACACGATTGGTGAGCAGTCACTCACAGCACAAAGGCTTCTCCCTTGTGGAAACCTCCTGCGCAGTGAGCCAACTTTCAGCCAATCATCTGCCCCACTTATATTCCATCTCCTCCTTTCTTACTATCAGTGAGTCAGACGATGTGGAAAACAGGGAGGGGATAGAAGAGGGAAAGTCTGACATCTCTTTTTGACACGGCACATGTGTGTTTGTTTAAAAATAGTCTGGTGTGCCAACAGGGGCCTGTTTCTATTGACGAGGGCTCTGCGACGTCATGCACCGGATTCACCAGAGTGGGAACAGATGCCTGTGAGCGGAGGCGGTTGGCTTGTGGGTTGTGATTCACAGTCTGTTTGGTTCTATTGTCAGCGTTAACATACAGACTGGCTTAGTGCTTGACCTGTGCACAACAGCACTTGTACTGTTGATGAAGTAAAAAATAAGTGATGGTTACTGTTTGGCTTACCTGTACTCGGCTCCCCAGCCCTTGACGAAGCTCATGCGGATGGTGCACATTCTGGTGAGCTGGTACACAGCTTCAAACCCTTGGTTGACCGACTGGGCCAGCAGGGCAGCAAACTCCTGGTTGTTGAAGATCTTCAGGTTACATCCTGGAGGAAACAACAGACCAAGACAGATTATTTAGAGAACCAAGAGACAAACAAAAGTGAGGTGACAGGAACTGGTCACAATTACAATCAATGCAGACAGCCATCTTTTTCGTGTATGAGTTAAAACCATGGTGGATTCAGTGTTTCCTACATAGCAGAGGATGTTTATATGACAAATGTAGCACAGTGAACATGATAAATATACAGATTCCCTCTCCAGTTATTGATAACAAATTAAAGTCACATATTAAGAAGATTTTTCCATGGAAACAATCCCTTCCTGCCTTAAAATGGCATAAATACAACTCTATAATAAGCAGATCTATGAACGCCCCCCAACGCTGCAGCTCAGCACACCAGCCCACCTCCAACTCTGCTCAAACACTGTAAAGCTATCCTAAATTTCACAATGGCAGATGTAATATTGAAGTAATTCAGCCATACTTATTACTCCTGGAGACCGATTCTTATGTAAAATTCAGATTCAGAATCAGATTCGCTTTATTGTCATTGCAAGGAGTACAACGAAAAGTAAGGTGCAGGCCTTCTAGTGCCATACAGAAAATCCCATCCTGAAAGCTAACATGATCACTTCCTTAGCTTCGTTGTGTATGAAACTAAAAAAGTCTGAATCTATATTTTTGAGACTACCACCAGTATACTGCCACGTCAAAGTGGAAATGCTCAGCCATGGTGTTGACTGCTTACTTCACTCATAATGTCTTCCAGCATATACAAATACCATATGGACATGTTATGAGGTAAAAAAAATAAAATTAAAATAAAAATGTGACTTTCACCAGAGGGAATCTTTAACCTTTTCCAGACTTCACTAATCTGATAGCAGTCAATTCAGACTTGTGTATTGAAAACGTTTTTAGGCCAGACCTAATAAGACGACAGTCTACATAAAAGGGAGTCCAGGTCCTATTCCAACCTCAAACCAACATGTAAAACTGCCACTGCATTTATGTAAAGCACCAGATAGAAAGGGGCTACTGACCCAGACAACAAAATGCAACACTGTTTGTATAAACATCTTGTTCAGACATTAAATGGGTTCTGGGTAAACTTGGAATGCTCGAAAAACATTTACAAATCATGAGGTAAAAGTAAACAGACCACTGTGGAAAGGAAAATGTCTTTTTGTAACCAGACTACACTTTTGTCAAACAAGATGTCCTGGGATTGGTAGTGAAGTAAATGATATGATGTGGCTGCTTCTGTTGACACTTGTGACGATACAGTCACAGTGAATCTGTTCTAAATTATCCACTTTAAAGAACTGACTTAATCACAATTTGGCCAAATAGGTATTCGAGTGTGATAAGTTTCACCAGAAACATTGAAACTGCTCAAAGGGGAGGAGTTTGTCTGCTGTGTGTACATTAACTGCTACAATTTCAACTACGTGTCCCTCAGAATAATGTTTCTTCTATAAAGATCATATTCAGATGTGAAGGTTAGAGATGACATAACTTCACACTGTACTATGAACACAAAATAAAAGTATATGCAAACATCTGCAAGCCAATGTATTTAGTGTGTCCTGGCATCTAAATCTTTAGTTAAATAGGATGCAACTGTTTCAGATTTTTACCATTACCAAAGGCTCTTAAAATTTGCCTGACCTATACACGCTGGTAGAAGTGAGCTACCATGAAAGGTAATGTTCTGACCAATTTGGAGCTCAGTGTCTGGCTCAAGGACACAGAGAGAAGGCGAGGGAGGAGGTTCAATCAACTTCTATAACTCCTTACCTCTGCCTTTCTCCCCATTGGTCTCACTCACACTTTTGCAAACTGCCATCGAATGTACTCTCTCAAAATTGCTTTACTAGAACAACAACATTTTACAAAAGTGCATCCTCCCCCTGATGACATTTGTTGAACTCCACTGTCTTTAAGTACTCATGGAAGGATTTAAAGAGTTGTAACTCATGTCTGCTCGACTGTACCCTCTGGCAGATGGTTCAGATCACTGTATGGTTTACAGCTTTCAGAGGGGAACAAGTTTATTCTTAAGTTTGACAAATTGTTTCTGCTGGAAGCTCAAACGTGCAGGTTTTGTTATGAGTCACAGTGGCTACATAAAATTACATTATGAAAGCCTAAACAAATATTCTTTTTATATTATATGTCACATCACATGTATATACACACACATAATGACCATTTTCACTTCATAACTCATTTTCCATCTGTCTCACTGGACCACATTTGTAAATGTCAGCTGCCCAAATAAATAATAATGTCTATCAGTGCTCCCGTTTGTAGGTCTCTCTATCCCTAGCTTTCTCTATCTGTTTTTGTCAGCTGGAAACACACCTGGAGGGATCTTGCAGACCGTGGCAGGGTGCCAGCCATAACGCTGATTACAGTTGGGACTCTGGACAAAGATTGCGCTGTCGCTGAGACACTCAGCAAAGACTTCTCCTCCGATATAGTACAGCCGCACACCACGGCCTTGAAGAAAACAAAGACAGAAGAATAAGATGAAACAGCCACAATGATAATATCAGTGCTTTCATGTAAATGTAGTACAGAAATATGTAGCGTTTTCCATCATGTCTGTACATTAACAGGCTTGCAAGAGATTAAGTGTAAGTGGTGAAAGGAGGACTGCATGATAATTATGTGAGGGGCTTCATGAACCCTACCGATGTGTCTGCGTGTTAACTCCACAGCCGCGTTGCGGTTGACGTTGGACAGGAGGCCGAGGCAGAAACGCTCTGAGTTGGAGGGATCCGTGAAGCCATCGACTGTCAGCGAGGGCTGCGAGGCGTGGAAGGTCTCTCCTACTCGCTGGTTCAGCTCGTAATACGAAATAGAGCACCAAAAGGCTGGCTCACAGTATGTCACTGGCTGCAGGTCTGAAACACACAAAGATACAGTTTGTTTTCATCAAACCAAAACAGAGAGGAGATATAATAATAAAAACTTTATTTACATAGCACCTTTTAAAAACATTATTTACAAAGTGCTTTGGCAGACCGGCCAAACAAAAAGGAGGATACTTAGGAAGACAATATTACAACAGAAAGCCAGTCACGCAAAACAGAAAGCAAAAAAGGTGAGAGAACCAAGAAGTGGAGAAATACTGTTAAAAAGGGAACAAATGCAAAATGCAAACCAGAATTTAAATATAAATAAATCCATACAACAAACACCAATTGATACAAATAAAATTATAATAAATGCACCAAAAACACTATAATACATCAAAGAATAGAAAAAATAAGATAAAAGCAAGGATAAAATAAAAAAAGTGAAAGGGAATAAAAAATAGTAAAAGACAACAAGCAAATCTACAGATAAAAGCAAAAGGAAAAAAAGAGAGAAAAGTGCAACTCAATAAGGAAGTTAATGTTTAAAATAAAACAGAAGCAAAGAAACACATCGTCAACAAGAGACAAGTTTAGGAGAATAAGTGAATCAGAGAAATAATGGCCAGCAAACCAAACAGACGTAAAGAGAAAAGAAATGAACAGCAATGATAACAAAGAAGAGGGAAATGGATGAAATGTGGGGAGAAAAGGGGCTGAGGAGGCTGTAGAGGGGGAAGGAAAAAAACATTCCCCCCCAAAAAAGAAAAAAACATTAGGGAGAGCTTGCGTCACAAATGTCAAACCCATACGCTGTTTCCCAGAAGCTTTTACCAGACAAAATGTGGAAACTCAACCCTCACTGGTGGGACGCTGCAGCCAAAATGGTCAAATTACAGACTTATCCGTGGTAGTTTTCAGTAACTTCAACTGGTTCTGGTAATTTGCTCTTTTTCCCTTCAACACGGCCACTGTCTAACAACTTCAACATTCTGTCCCTGACTTTGAAGTCCAGAAAAGAACTGGTCAGCACTGCCAAATGAAACTGGTGTAATTTTGTTATTTCACCAACAGCGTTCCAGCCAAGCCCCCCTGGAGTTTTTCCGTCCTGATAGAATAAACATAGGATATTGTTATTGATGTTACTGCTGGCTGAATGGTGTCTTGGCCTGTTGAACAGCTCACATGGTGAGCAGGAAAGACAAAGCCTTCTTTCATCACCTGGTTTCCTCTTACAAAAATGGATTGAAATCAAACAGAGAATTCCCACTGGGGAAATACACTATTGAAACATTTGTCTGTCAGTGAAGGCAGACAGAAAAGTACACAAACAGACACTTAAGCACACAGACACACAGTTCTTACCCAAGTTGCTGTGTGTGGGTGAGACGGGGTTGGGTGACAGGTTTGGGGAGCTTGTGTCCATGCTGTGGGTCATCTGGTGATCGCTGGTCTCTCCATCCTCACTGAGGTAGCCTGGTGGTGGCGTTTCTGAGACACAAACACACAAGTTATTGACAAAATGCATTTCTTTACCGTAATCATCACAACTAAGTGCATAACCCTGAAGGCCAGTGTTATGCTTAGTGCGTCTGCGAGGATCCACACGACGTAAGTTTCATCATCTCTCCAGTCTCCAAAATTTGTGTGCACAGCAACGGCACTAGAAGGGATGTATTGTGCATGCGTGGAATATATAACCACCAATCTACTGGGAATGTCTTCCAAGTGGACTTGAAAATAGTATAACAACAACTATTGCATCGATTAAACATTTGCAACTCATTTAAAATGCTGCTGCTAGAATACTGACAAACGCCAAGAAGAGAAAACGCATTACTCAGACTCTCAGATCCCTGCATTGGCTTCTCGCTAAGTATAGATCTGAATTTGAAGGCTAGAAGCATCTAAATGGCCTGGAATCACAACAAATCAGAGATATGTTTGCTGAAGCCTGGAGGGTCTCTGCAGGGACTGGTCAGTTCGTTGAGACCAGACAAGGTGAAATGGCATTTGATCTTTTGCAGCTCCCTTTGGAACTTAGATTTGTAGATGTTAGAGGTCTAAGCTAAAGACTGGTATTTTTTCCACAGACTTGAAGTAATCAGTGCGATTATAAAGTCTGTTCAATTTCTACTTCATGCCTATATTTTTCTCATCTCATCTTTTTTTTTCTTTTAGCTCGTAGATAAACGTGCTCGTGTCTGCAGCTGTCTGTGTGCACATCTGCAAGGGAGCATAGTCAAGCCCTCACAAACCCTCACACTGACTTTCATCTAATTCTAACTTTAACCCTAACACCAAGTTTTCACTCTTAGATTGCCCTTTAAAGTTGTGAGGACCAGTCTAAAGGTCATAACGAAGAGTGAAATGTCCTCACAACAATGGTTCTAAGTCAAAACCAATTCTCACAAAGCTGACACATACACAACAAGTCATCGTATTTGTGGTGAAGTTGCCCAAGACAGATCTGGTAATAATCACTGCTGAAACATAACACTGGGAATTTACAAAGAATAAAATAAAATGAAACAGTTATTAAATACAAAGAAGTTTCAGTTTAATTGCTCTCACTTGCCTGCGTTCTGTTTGTCTGTGTCTCTCATTTACTTGCTCTTTTTTTTTTTAAGTGACATTAAAGGAATTCTCCACCCTAAACATGTGGTCACATTTTGTTGCATAATAAAACTGACTAGCATCTGATCTGTGCTAAACCCTGGTTTGGAGGAGTATGTTAAAGCCATGTCGAAAAACAAAGGCTGACGCAGTCAGAACTCTTGAAAGCAGTTTATACACAGCAAGTTAATAGTTTCCTAACTGCATAACTGAAAATCCAGTTATTGGGAGCAGAATCCATCAGAATCTCTGTCAGAAATTGTTGGCAGTGTGTAGGATACAGATGTAGAAACAGTCAGTGCTCAACTTATGAATAGAGGAGCATATTCATTAACAGAAGTTCTTGTGTAGGCAACCTGCGATCATGGGTTTAAACTGTTTCAACAACTACTGGTTCACAAATATCTAATGTTCTCTTAGCACAGAACACAGAGTGACAAAGTGACTAAACTAAAAGACACCAATGTCTGGCCCATCCCCATGTATGAGTTGTTATAAAAGATTCCTATGCAAGTCTCAGTTGTAAAATGGGTATCTAATACTGAAGCCAGCTTTATACTCCATATAAACCGCCTCCAGTACTCTTTCATCATGCACCTTTTCACCTGTAGATTACGGGAGGTCTGTCCAAGGACTGAATTTCTCTCTAATTTCATTTGTGACAACAATTTGCAGCACTTTTAATGTAAAACAACCAAGAACAACAATATAAATGTCCTCCAGGACCCAGATTTAAACAACATCACTAATCTATGACCGCTCATTTTTCCCTAAACCCTCTATTTGAATCAGCTATAAACACTTGGACAGCACATTTTACAAACTAGTTCTGACAGACCATAATCCATCTCTTAGTGTGAGTCATGTTAGGAAGCATGCTGGTACCTGGTATGTAGTTGCTCTGGGGCTCAATGCCAGCAGGGAAGTTGGTGTTTTCTGGGATTGAATGGCTGTAGTCATCCAGAGGTGGGAACTCACTGGGGATTTCTGTGTGTCTGGGCACCAGCACTGGTGGGAGCACTGTGTAATGGGCATAAAGACAAACACACAGACAACAAGAAGGTCCTTAGAATATACCAATACTGATTAGTTCTAGGACTGGATAAAATAAATAAACAAAATCCAATAACAGAATACTACAACTCTGCAGTAAGACAGTTGAACAGGACAAAGCCAAGAGCTATAAATCACAGCAAACATTTTTTTCTAAAATGATGATAATGTCAGACAGAAGATAAACACTCTTCAAGCTCTCATACCGGGTGTCTCCACTCTCTGGTAGTGGTATGGGTTGACGCACACTTCATCTTTCTTCATGTGGAAGGCGTATTCGCACAGCTCCACCGCCCGCAGCTCGTGGTGGGACTGCAGGTCGGGCCAGCGCCACAGACGGCAGTAGATGACGTGGGGGAGACCTTTTCTGTGGGAAACCTGTAGACGGCCATCCAGAGACCTGCCGATATGAAAAGAGAGGTTTGTCAGTAATTTGCAACCTTTTGTTTTTATGTATTTTTAGTCCAGAACAATGATAGTTTTTGTTTTTTTTAAGTACTTTCATAATTTGTTGGCCTCATAAGTGCTGTCTAACATGAGACTATCTACCTGAAAGTTTAAAGTTGAAACACTGACCAATATTGTGTGGAATATAAGAATAAAACACTTTTTCATTATGATTGTTTCTCCTTCTGTCCTGGATTTTAAAGTTATGACATTATTACCTTTTTGAATATGAGACAGCTTATTGTCTGATCTGCCTTCTCTACTCCCCATTGTGAGTCAACTTCTTTTTTTATTAGTACAAATTATTTCTATACATTGTCCATCTAATTATTTATATACTTTTTAAAAATGCATTGTTTTTTTTCTATTTTCATTTGCCTTGTAAGGGCTTTGACATTGGTTGTTTGCCTTAATTTAAGAATGCTCAACTGCTATTGATGTAGTAACAAAGATGCAACACTTAGTTGTCACGTGTTGTGGTTTTACTATAAACATGAGTTGTTTCATTTCATTTCGTTTTACAAGCGCGAGTCTCAATGTTGACATTATGTGGATATACAACCTTTTTCCTTTACAGCCTAGAAAAATTAAATTGTTTAAACAGATCTTTAAATTGGGCTTCACATTAGAATTCACAATACACAATTTTGTCCTCCAAAACACAACAAACACAAGATGTGGTGTTTACTGTTAAGTCTGGGCTTTGAAACTTCCAGCGATGGTCCCAGCTGGGAACACACCGGTTATGAGGTGATGTCTAATAATAAACAACCAGCAATGATATTACAGTATGTATAACAGGAATTTCATTGTGTTGTGTAACATCTGCGCTCATCTGGTATACAATGCCCACAGCAGGATGATTTAGGCCGCCAGATAGTAATGAGCGATAGTTTGACGTTGCAGATTGACATAATGGGGCTGTAGTCTGTAATCTCAGAGCACAATGACCCATGAAAGAGAAAGAAAAAAAAACAACCACTCATCATCTTATGCAAGAGGCTATGACCACATATGTCCCCTCTATCTCACTATCTCACCCACTCACTCTCACACACAAATATAGAGTAAGGGTCAAAGGCTTAAACTAAAGCCCTTCAGAAGGACAAATATCATTCCCCAAATAAAAACAATCCATGTACTGTCCAACTACGAAACGCTCAGCTGTTCCCCATCTGGGTCAACTGTTACATCCAGCGAGCAGTGTTTTAATTTATAATTGCAGAAGCTTTATTCACTGTCTCTGTGCTTTAAAAGTGGCTGATGGGACTGTATGCTGACAGGGAGGTGGGTTGCTGAATTTGCAAATGGTGTCTGTATGTGCATACAAGCTAACAAAAACATTCAGCTCAAGAAGCAAGACATCTGTGGAGAAAATCTGGTGAAGCTCAGAATCTGAAAAACATATCCCTCAAGCCTGCATGAGACAACTGGTGTGGCATGCCCACGCTACAAATATGAATCGAAAAGCACAATAGGGAACCAAATGGTGTAAGAATACGTCACTAGAATAAAGAAGAAATGTTCTGTTTTTTTTTAACAAACCTCATATGACAGAGTTCCTCATATAATGAAAGTCAAGCAGCAACATTTTTTCATAATTTGACAAAAATCAAATAAAAACCTTGACTTTTATGCCTAAGTGATGCAGTTAACCATAAGTATTTTAAGTTAACAGGAGATAAAACACTCATATAGTCTGTAAATGACACACAAAACAGGATATTTTCTTCATTAATGTCACAACAGAAATAGAAATAGTGTTTTTCTCATTGTATAACCTGTTTTGCTAAGTGCGTCATAGGAACAGTTTTTGTTTCCTGTCAAAAACACCAGTGCAAGCAGTGAGAAAAAGCTCTCTGGAGTCACAACAGTAACAACAGCAAATCCGGATGTCTCCCATTCAGTAGATGAGATCGTCCCATAAGAGGTTAGAGTCAGATCGAAAGACTGCAGACAACGGTGTTCGGCCCAGTACTTGGCTTTTGATTACAGTGTTGTGATTAAACATTCAACACCACTGAGCGATCTGGCTGCTCTCACAAGTACAACCCAGTTACTTACACGGAACAAATAAACACCAATGCCTTAGATTATTATGTAATCAAACACAAAACCCTTCCATAAATACTTTCTTTGTAAAGCTTATAATGGTCACTCTGTCCGTTTTTTTTTTTCTTTTTTACAGTTATGTTATAGCTTGAAGTGATGTTAAGCTAATATTTTTGTTAGATGTAATTTAGCATTTATAACTTGTGACTTCTGTTCCTCTTTCTATTGCAGTTTTACTGTGTTTAGCATATTTTGCTGTGATTTAATGTAGCTGTTTCCTTTTACCACGTTGCCTAATTTTGCACTGTTTATGACTAACTGCAAGAGAAATCCAGATCTTCTGTGCCAAGTTGTATCAAAACTTCACTTGAAATGTTGCCAGTCCTTTGTTAAACATAATTACCTAATAACTTATTAATTACTGAAATGCTTTGCAGTCTTGTTTGACAAAATTAAGGTAACATAATGTTAGCAGCCTTGAAAAAAATGAATGTATCATACCTACATTTTACAAAGAAAGCTGAAAAAGTGAATCATAGTAAACTATCCAACAGCCACGATGACATGAGGGAAACACATGGAAAGTGCATTTGCAAAGAGGAATGGTAATCACATGTGAGTGAAAGAAAAAGACATGTACTTAGCTACTGGCACAAAATGTGCAATCAAAAGTTGGAATAATGCCTCTCTGATCATATCCACAAAAATTGTGCATTAAAGTAAATAAAAAGCAGTACAGCTATCAGCTACAACATTAAAACCACTGACAGACTTAGTGAATAACACTGATCATCTTGTTACCATCCAATGCTCTGCTGGGAAACCACAAACCGGATCCATTGTCACTGGTATGTGTGCTGTGTCTCTGCTGCTGAATGAGTGTTTGGTGGGACCATGTGGGCTGAGACAGACATGCACAAACTACAGTGGCTTTACTGGATATATGGCGTTGTTCTACTTTGTGTCCTCCTTTACGGTCAGTGTTTTTAAGGGAAAAGTTGCAGTAATGTTATGAGTCACACCAATAAGCTCAGCAGCCGAACTGCACGTGTACAGCACATGAGAGGATCTACACTCAACCAGAAACAAGAAGTATGACTTTATACAGCAGTGACAACAACCACCACCTAGGTACAGTGGCATGCAAAAGTTTGGGCACCCCTGGTCAAAATTTCTGTTCATGTGAACAAGTAAGCAAGTAGATGATGAAATGATCTCCAAAAGGCAAGTTAAACATGAAACACTCTTTTCAATATTTTAAGTAATAGCAGTGAATTATTTTTTTTTGTATTATTTTTGAGCAAAAAAATAAAAGCAGCACCTTGCAGAAGAATGGGAACCCCAGAAGACTTGATCTCTCAGATAACTTTGACCAAGGTGTCAGACCCTAATTAGCCTGATAGTCATGGCTTGTTCACAGTCATCGTTAGGAAAGACCAGGAGATGCAATTTTCAAAGCTTTATAAATACCTAGACTCCTCTAACCTTAGGTTCCTCTCAGCAGTTGCCCAGAACTCTGAAACGGAAAATGGTTGAAGCCCACAAAGCAGGAGAAGACTATAAAATGATAGCAAAGCGTGTTCAGGTACCGATTTCCTCAGTTAGGAATGTGATTAAGAAATGGCAGTTAACAGTAACGGTGGAGGTCAAGAGAAGGTCTGGAAGACCAAGACTATCAGAGAGAACTGCTCGTAGGATTGCAAGGAAAGCAAGTCAGAACCCCCGTTTGACTACACGAGACCTTCAGGAAGATTTGGCAGACACTGGAGTTGTGGTACACTGTTCAACTGTTCAGGGACACCTGCACAAATACGGTCTTCATGGAAGAGCCATCAGAAGAAAACTTCTCCTGCGCCCTCACCACACAAGAACATTTAGACAAGCCTGATGGATTTTGGAAACAAGTTCTGTGGACCTATGAGGTAAAACAGAACTCTTTGGCCGGAATGAGCAAAGGTATGTTTGGAGAACAAAGGGCACAGAATTTCATGAACAGAACACCAGTCCAGCTGTTAAGCATGGGGGTGGATGGATCATGCTATGGGGTTGTATTGCAGCCAGTGGGGATCATTTTTACCATTTCATGGGGAACATTTTACAGGCAGAGAGCAGAATGGATTCAATTAAATTCCAACAAATTCTGGAAGCAAACATAACACCATCTGTAAAAAAAAAGCTCAAGTTGAAAAGAGGATGACTTCTACAAATGGATAACGATCCTAAACACACCTCAAAATCCACAATGGACTACCTCAAGAGGCGCAGGCTGAAAGTTTTGCCATGGCCCTCATAGTCTCTTGACCTAAACATCACTGAAAATCTTTGGGTAGACCTCAAAAGAGCAGTGCGCACAAGATGGCCCAGGAATCTAACAGACCTGGAAGATTTTTGTAAGGAAGAATGGGTGAAAAACCTTCAAACAAGAATTGAAAGACTCTTGGCTGGCTACAAAAAGCTGAAAAGCTGTGATACTTGACAAAGGGGGTTATACTAGGTAATAACCATGTAGAGTGCCAAAAACTTTTGCTGGGGCCCTTTTCCATTTTTTGTTTTTTTGAAAATGTAAAACATGAAAATAAAAAAATTATTGTGTTTAAAATGTAAAGGGAATGTGTCGTCTGCAATTTCATGCCTTTTGGAGATCATTTCATCTTCCACTTGCTTAATTCTTCACTTTAACAGGGGTTGACCAGGGGTGCCCAGACTTTTGCATGCCACTGTATATCCCTCCACTTTGCCTTTATTAATTATTACAATGGCACTAAATAAACTAAACTAAATGTTTTGGTAGGTTCTACAGGTGCACACATTTTCCAGGAGGAAAACAAAAAAGCTGATTGATATCAAATTATACTTTGCACTGCTTATTGAACATCAGGACATTATCTAGTGTGTGGAAGT